GAATGTCACCGAATCGAATCGCACGTACATCACCTCCACACAGCCCACCTGCCTGACGTGCGACAACACGGAGGCCACCTATCGCCTGCACCGGGCCAATCCCTCCAAGATGCCGACGCGCGGCGACAGCTGGGAGGACATTGTGGCGCGGCTCGAGCCGGATGACTGCATCTACGACATACCCAAGAACTGTCTCTACAATCGGGTGCAGTTCAGCGGCGACTACAGCTACTACGTGCAGGAGTGCCTCGGCCCGGAGCCGCCCAGCGTCTATCTGGTGGAGACGGCCACCAATGACAAGATCTTTGTGCTCAATGCCGGCGATGTGCTGCGGCATCGGCTCTCCCAGCTGGCCACACCACAGATGCGCACATTCAGCGTGGAGATACGGCACGGCTTCCATGCCCAGGTGCGACTCTTTCTGCCGCCGGGCATGCGCGAAGAGGAGGAGGTTGCCTTTCCCCTGGTGCTGCATGTGTAAGTGGAGTGCCCCCGATTCCCCGATCTATATTTATTTGATTTGCAATTTGCAGAGATGCCTCGCCCGGGTCGCAGCTGGTCACCGAACGCTTTCACATCGATTGGAATTGGTACTTGTCCAGCCAGCGCAGCTTCATTGTGGCACAGATCGATGGACGCGGCAGTGGCTTCCAGGGCGAGCTGCTGCGCACCCAGGTGCACGGCAAACTGGGCACAGTCGAGGTGGAGGATCAGCTGGGCGTGCTAACGTGAGTTGGAGTTGGAGTTGCAGTTGGAGTTACATTTACCCCAGAGCTAAATATATATTTAATATTTATTTAATTATTTTTAAAGCTATTTACGTGACAACTTAAAGTTCATTGACCCGCTGAGAATCTGCGCCTTTGGCTGGGGCTACGGGGGCTATGCATCGGCCATGATGCTCATCGATGACTCGCAGCAAGTGCTGCAGTGTGCCGTGTCCATCAATCCCATTGTGAACTTTGGCTTCCATTGTGAGTGTTTAGCGGACTGCGAAGAACAGACTGCAGAACGAGAATTAATATCTGCCTCTCCCATCTGCCCCACCCATCTGCCCATGTAGATTCCTTTTTCACGGAGCGCTATATACCACTGAAGGGCGACTATTTGCGGGCACTGCAGGAGGCGGATCTGACCATGAAGGCGGGCAATATCAAGGGACGCAACCTGATGCTGATGCACGGCACCGCCGATACGTTGGTGCATCAGGAGCATACGCTGATGCTGGTGCGGGCACTGGTCGATCAGCAGGTGAAGTTCCGGCATCAGGTGTATCCGGATGAGGATCATGCCATCGCCAGGTCGCTGAGTCACGTCTACAAGACCATGGAATGGTATTTCGATGAGTGCTTCGGCCCCGTCGACGACAACGAGTGGGACCCCACGGGTCTGTTTGTGTTCAAGCAATAATTAAGACCCCCCTACGATCCTTACGACGAGGATCCGCTGGCCAATCAGCTAAGCGACATCGACATTGATCCCGGGGAAACCGGCGGGGATCGGCAGCAGCTGCAGCAGCAGCATGGCAGCAATCTCAGCACCCTCATCACGGCAACCACAACCAGTGCGTCGCTCTCCGCTCTGGATGAGCTGGACAACAGCCTCCAGGTGCTCGATCTCATGACCTCGTCGAGCACCTCCACCACCCTCAGCAAGCTATCCGGCAAGCTGTGCAACTACAGCAGCAAACGGCGGCTGGAGCAGTCAGAGACGGCCCTGGCCGAAAAGCAGCGCATCCTGCAGCACTAAAAACCAGCAAAGCAAACCAAAGTGCCAGACAGACAACAGAAAGTGAAGGGTGAAGGTGGGTGAAGGTGAAGGTGAAGCTGAAGGTGGCAAAGTTCGACTCTCAAGACACATTTGCATTTGCATTTGCATTTGCATCCACTGTGCGCTGGTACTCCGTACTCGTACTCGTACTCGTACTCGTACTCTATTTTAATTTAAATATTAGTTTCGGTTTCTATTTTGATGGTATGCCAGCAGTAAAGTTCCACTGGGAGAGCGAACGATCGCGATCTTGTGGGTGGGAGGCATTACTATAGATGGAGTTTCTTAGTTTGTTCCTTGAGCTGGAGAACTGGACAGGCTTTAGGGCCCAGTGAGGAGGCCCCCCTCTGAGCTGGAAGCAAAAGCAAAGCAAGGTGATTCATTTATGCGACTGATTATTAACATATGTGTATTAAATAATTAATAACAAAAACAACGTCATCGAGCAAAATAGAGAGAGAGAGAGAGGGAGAGAGAGAGAACAGTGAGAGAGGAGAGTGCGTGAGAGAGTGGGGTGAAATAAAATAGAAGGAGAATGTGCAGCCAATGTCGATGTAAAATGTCGTAGGGAAGATAAAAAGCGTAGGGGAGAACCACAAACCAAAAAATTATTGCGAAAAATGCAATACAAAAAACCAAAAACGATATTTAAACAATCGTGTATCCAGTTATACGATCTACATATGTGTATGTGTGTGTGTGTGTGTATCTAGCCCAAACCCCTGCCCAAGCCCCCATTGTCATGTGTCTATGTAACCTACCCCCCCCATACCCATTTCCCTTTCCCATTCCCTATGCCCATGTTTGTGTGTGTGTGTGTGTGTGTGTATTCCATGTGTGTTTTTTTGTTGTTGTTGTTGTTACCTTAAATTGTATGTTATTTGTTTTGTTTGTTGTTTTTGTTTTGTTTTTTTGTTTGTTGGATATTCGTAAACGTTTGTGGATATATGTGTATATACATACATATATGTTATTTTATATATATACATACCTAAATAGTTATAATTGACTGAACGTTATTTTTTTTGTATGTATATATTGATAATTAAATTTTAAAAACCATATTTATGAAAAATACATATTAAAACAATTAACTCATGTCCAAAGGAAGGAGGAAATATCTTTTAAACAGCAACATAAATACAAAAACTAGCAAAAACAAACAAACAAAAATGAAAAGAAATTTGCAAAGTAGTTTTGAATGTGCCCGAAAATGAAAACAGAACCCCCAGCCCCCCACTACGCCCGTACCCGCCCACAGAAATATTTATGTACTGCGAATGGAAAAGATTCGCTTATGGCCATGAATGGTGGGTGAATCCATCCCATCGGGTGTATTGCTGAGTATGCGAATGTTCTTGGCTGGCGACCATAAAAGTACCCTGTAATTGGACTAACCTGCCAGAGGATTAGCCCTGGGCTTTTGGGCACATTCCCCTCCGCAGACATTGTACTTGCAGAAAGCTTTAAACGTCATATGTATAACCCCTCCCCACCCACCATACCGATAATCGAAATTGAATCCCCCCCCCCCTCCACACACAAAAGAGGAAAAAAAATAAAACTAATTTTAAAAGAAATCTATAAGTACGATATATACAATATAGAAGGAGGAGGATACGGATACGGATAAGAGGAGGATGAGGAGAATGTGCCACACAGAGACAAGTCCAAGGCTTGGAACTACCACACCCACACCCCCCGCCCACCATCAACCAAAGTCAACCGATTGGAACAGAGCAAAGAGCCCCCCGCCCCAGGTTCAGTTGTGGGAGGAGAACTGTGAAGGCCAGGGCTGCCAGTGATGCCAGGGATGCCAGGGATGCTGGAGGGGAATGTTTGTGTGTTCGTGTTTGCATGTATGTGTGTGTGTGTGTGTGTGTGCTTTTGCGTGAACCAAAACAAAAAGGAGCAAGAGATTTTTTTTTAGATTTTTTTACCATTAACATTAACAAGTGAATAAAAGCTAAAAGAAAGCTAAAGATATATATATATATATGTATACTAGACATACATAAACACATACATATGTGTGTATATGTATGCATGTATGAGAAGTGAATTAAATGATTGTCAAGCATAGATGTTAAATGTTGCATGCATGAGCAAGCGAAATTTTATTGTAGCAGGACCCAGACAACAACAAAAAACAAAAATAAACAATAAACAATAAAGAAAACAAGGGGTCGTAGCTACTCAAAAATCCCACAAAAACCAAAAAATCCAAAAAACCAAGAAAGAAAAAAAAAAGGAAAAAAATAACTAACAGAAATATAGTCAAGCTTTAAATGTTGTACACAGGAGGAGCAGGAGAAACAAGGGGGGAAGGTCCTGTAGCAGAAAACTCGAAAACTGATGGATCCAAATAAATATCGAAGAAATCCATCGCCCTAAATAAATAGTAAATGTTACAGAAACGAAACGAAACGAAACGAAATTAAAAAGAAATATAACGATGGAATGGAAAGTAAACCAAAATGCATATTTATAAATGTTTAACACAAGAATTCTATGATAACAAACAAAAAAACAAAACATAAACGAAAGTAAATATATATATATATATACATACATACGTACATAACATGCATACATATACAAAAAAAAAAAAAAAAAAAAAAGAACAGAACAGAACAGAACAGAACAGAACTTTTAGATCAAAAAGAGCAACAAAGACAAGAAACCATTCAACTAGTGCGAGTATGTGGAACCAAAAAAGCTAACAAAAATACAAAAACAAATACAAAAACTAAATCTCATTATCCATAAAGTACAAACAAAAAAAAAAGTAAAAATATATATAAATGTAATTTTGTTTCCTTCCATCCCCAAAAGAAATGACCAAAAATACTGGACAATGTTTTTGCGATATGATGATGTTTTTGTTTAGTCATTTGGATAAGTGACACACGCGACCCACGCCCCCACGCCCCCACACCCCACCCTCAACGAAGTGATTTGGTTTCAAGACGTACGAACATTTCAAAACGAACAAAACAAAACAAAACACTGAAAAAACAGAAACAAAAACAAAAGTAAATGGTATATTAAATGAAACGAAAGCGAAATTCAAATAGATTTTAGCGTATTAATAGCAGAACTATGTATTTCCCAACAAACAACAGACAACAGACACAACGTATACCAAAACATTTGACAACTAAAAACCAACTAAAACAAAACCAAAAACCAAAAACAAAAAAAAAAACAAAAACGAAACAATAAAGACATTTTTGTGTGTATGCAAAATAAAATTAACGACTGTGTTTGAATTTAGCGCCAAATAAATAAAATAAATGACAGGGGGCCTCCGCATGAAATTAAATTCAAAATCTCAGCCAATCTGTCCATAAAATATAATCTGTTTCCATATTTTGTGTGTGTGTGTTGCCCTTCATGTCAAAATATCCTATATATGTATATAGCTCCCAAATAATAGAAGCACCAATTGCGAGTTTAGCATTTAATCATTTATGATCGCCACACCAAAACGATTCATCAAATGATTAGGAACTAAAGGCTCGTCAGTCAGCGTGCCATGTGTCGGGTGTCCCACCAACGGGCGGACAGCACCAGGGCCAGTGTGTGTGGATTGCCGAAGATCGTCTGGGTTCGCTGTGGTTTGCACTGGTTGGGATGGCACTGTGTCTGCGGGGAAAGTTGCAAAGTTAACTTTATGCCAGCCCTTTGGTGGCACTTCCTGTTATGGCATTACTCACCAGTCTCTGTTTGTGTGTCAATGAACGATTAAAACGATTATCAACTACAGAATATACATATGTAGCCATTATAGGCCGCGGAATGTTGCGCGCGCCCTCCTCAGGTATGCCGATGGTAAGTCGGGGGCATACACGTTGACCGGGCGCCGCTCAGGAGCAGCTGCAGCTGCCGCTGCAGCTCTCGAGTAGGGCCTGCCGCCGCCTAGTAGTACGTCGGTATTACTCGCGATGGCCAGGCGCATGTGCGCCTGCGATGCCGATGCATCGTAGATGGGCACAGTGACGTTGTTCACCAACGGGCGAGCAGCGTTGGAGGGCGAAGGTCGGTTGGGTATCTGGGGATTGGGGTTGTGGTTCTCTTTGCCCTCCATCGTAGTTGTGTCTGCGGAAATACTAAAGTCGGCATGTTGCTACGAGCCCTTTTGGTTGTTTAAATGTGTCTACTTATCCACTCACCGGTTTCTATATATTGTGTTTAATTTTATTCGTTGTGTTGTTTGATGTGTTTTATGTGGGGAGCTGTTTTCGCTTCGACTTGCTGCTTAGCACTGACGAATGGGAGTATATACGAGATGAGTATAGCATATTGGACGTGACAATCGAATCCAAGGGCTATGTGATGGATCATTTTGTGGAGAATTCTCGTATTATTTTGAATTATGGCTTGCTGCCGAGTGCAGTGCTGTAAAGTGGTCGGCTTTTGATTTGGCTCATTTGCTCACCGGAACCACTGAACCGAACTGAAATGAATCGAACTGAACTGGTATGAACCGATATTTATCGGTGCAGTGTTTGAATTTAAATTTAAATTATAAATAGAAACTTTTGTTGAGCGTTTAATGTGCCGTTTAATTTCCGTCGCATTCCACTTTGCTTGACGTCTGGATATAAAGCTTATGGGGTAAAGCAAAGCAGGCAGTGTCAAAAGTGTTCACGAGCTGGATGGATATGGATGTTGCTTGCACAATTCAAGCCCGGAAAATTCTGTACTTCTATTCCAACGATTTCTCGTTCCTTGGATGCAATTCTCCGACTGAATGACTGGATTATTAACAGAACAGCCATAACGATTATCGCCGAGGTAAGTGCAGAAAACACACAACAGAATTTTAGCTTGTGGTTCGCATAATGGAAATACTCTCTGCGCGAAAGAAGACAAGTGTAGGTGGTATATAGTATATAAGTAAATTAAATTAAGATTAGATCAAAATTAGTGAGTGGAGTGGCTGCTGAAAAGAAAGACAGGGACAGGGACAGAGCAACAGAGCAACGGACACACAGCAAAGTAACAAAAGCAAGTTGCTTATTGTACGAGTATTATCTATGGAAATCTTAGTTGAATCCAATTCGATTGGGGCTTTAATTTCGGTATTTTGTTACATAAATCGATCCAGCATTCGGCCACGCAAAAAACTTGCTAAATAAATATGAAAATGATTACTTAAGGAATAAGCATCAGTCTCAGGTGCGCCAGGCATTCAGATTGATATCGGGCAGACTGGGATCATCGCAGCCAATCATTTGGTTGCTGCAACAACAACAACAACAACAACAAAAGATGTCAAATTGTGAGTTAAACTTGGAAATGCTGCAATCGCTTACCCTGGATGATCTGCACGAACAAAGGCGGCCAGGGGCACTGCCTGCAGCGTTAGGCGATCGGCATTGTCGCATATGAGGCGAGCCATCGTTGTCTTGCGTATCTCCTGCAGCTGGCTGGGCGTAAAGGCGCCCGGATTGATGGCCGCATCGTACTCGTAGTAGTAGCGATCGCCGTGCTTGAAGCGCGCAAACTGATCGGCAATGATCTCGGCAAAGGTAACGCCCACAATGCCGCCCTCAACGGCCTTCTCCAGTAGGCCACCAACCCACAAATCAATGTCATCGGGTGTCCTATAAACGCGCGCCAATTTCTGTCCAATCTGTTGTGTGTGGGAAGGGGGTTACAAATGGAATAATCTCAAAGCTGACAGCAGCTCGTACCTCGCTGGGAAACTGATCGAAAGTCTTTAGCTTGGGTGCGCCCATCAGCTCCAGATAGTCGTTGTAGCAGCGCAAGCCCTGATCGCGTCCACGCTGTATATTGATGGCGGCCAGGTCCAGGCCAAAGGGATTATCACCGCGGAACAGGAAGCGACTGAGCTGCTCCAGAGTCACGGGATGGATGAGTGGCAAGGACGGGATAGGTATGGATATTAAGTGTACTTACGCCCTGGGTAATGGAGCTGTCTATCTGCTGCATGGGCTGGCTGTAGAGCGTGCGCAGCATGTCGTCGTAGAACTCACGCTTGCGCATGCGCGACGGATTGAACATCACATCCGGTATATTGATCACTTCATCGATATGGCCATGCTCCCCCCGTATATGGAACTTTCCATCGACACTGGACATGGGGGGGGAGGGAATTGTCAATAGGAATATTATCATATAATCGGAATGGAAACCCACCTGGAATGTCCCATGCGATAGGCGGCACCTGAAAATTCATTGGTTATGGCCGGATTCACGTCCGGACTGTAGTCATGCGCATAGCCCTGATGCTGGGGCACCAGTCGGAAGCGCTTCATCTGCTGCGGCCCGATGATAATCGGCAGGAACTCGTTGTAGGTGATGTGCTGCACCTCGGCAATGACGATGCGGCGTGCCTCCTGGAAGAGCCACTCATCGCTGGCCGACGGATTGATCTGCGCCAGTGTGTCGGCCACGCGATTGTGCTCGCGTGCGAAGAGTATTTGCAGGGTTATCAGCGATATGATTTGATTGGTGCGTCCATCACCTGCAGAGCCCACATTAGCCACATTAGCCGCCACGCGTGTACACAGGGATTGGAGCGAATGTATTTACCCGATTTAAAGCACGACTTTCCGGCCTCCTCGCTGGGACAGGCCTTCTTGTCGCTCGTCAGCGGCAGCAGATCCCGTCCGAAATCGTTTAGCATGCGCAGGCGGCCGCCTCGGAATGATCTCAGTTCACGGGCTGCCTCCTGGCTGGAGCCGTACACCGGCGAGAGGTCCACAAAGTGCGTCACCTTGCTCATTTGCTTGCCATAGCCCAGCTGGCAGTCGGGATTGGGCACAAGGGAGAGCCTCACCAAGTTCAGGCAGCGCACGCCGAAGGCACCGTAAAACTCATCCTCCGGATCCACGGCTATTGGCATGCAGGCAAAGTGGCTCTGCTGCGGATTCAATGCCAGTTTGCCACCAGGAGAACAGCACTGCACCAGATCCCCGTCCTCGAGACGCACCGTGGAGGTCTGCGAGACGTCGTGTGCCTGCAAAAAGGGAAGTGGATGCATTCCAATCTCTTGCCAGAAGCTTCTGGTGCTACACAAACCAAAACCTGTCCGAACTGCATCACTAAAAGATTGTACTTGGGATGGGGACGATCGACATCGGCCAGAAGGATGCGCGAGATCTTGCGGGCTCCCAGCAGGGGAGTGCCATCGGTCGAGTGGGCGCGCGGATTCCAGATGCCATCCTCGTAGGCCGGCGGCAGCATACGCTCCAGCGGCTGGCCGGCAGCGCCCCAATGCGACCGAGCTGGCAACGGATTGTTGCAAGTGCCGTCGTGGCTGCGATACACGGATCGGATGTCCCGACAGACCACCGGAGCCCGGCAGTGCTGGGCCAGCGGCGTCTCTGTGAACTTGACCGGTACGTTGTTGGTGATGATGTCGTCCACGGGCACCTGCTCCTTCTTGCTGAAGAGCTGTGTGGTGAAGACCTGCTCGAGGGCATTGTTGGACAGCGCAAAGTTATGCAGATCCTCCTTGGCCGTGGAGTGGAAGACAATGCCGTGACTGAAGTCGGGCAGACCCCGACGAACGGGTATCTGGGCCACGCCATGCATCAGATGCTCAAAGTTTCGCCGGGCCTCGTCCAGTACGGCGGGCGACAGAAAGCTGGGGAAATCCGCGCGACGCTCCTTGCTGGCCGAGCGCGGAGCGGTGTGGTTCTGGCCCGTCTGGCAGCAGTAGCCAAATTTGCCGGCTGGTAGATCGCAAATTTGCGGCTTCTCATGGCTTTCCATGCGGACATGGCTTGGACATTGGATTTGTGGCACGCAAATCACACCGGTACATGGGAGACATTTTTTGAGCAGTCCGCTGGTGGCTAGAAAGAGATGCAGGGTACAGATAACCGTAAACATAGCTGTGCACGAATGCGCTAGAACGGGATGACACTATTGTCACAAAATAACCGTTCATCGGTAGCCATTATGAAAATCGAAGCTCGGACAAAAAAATTAAATCCACAAATATTAGTCACTACTTAAATAGGAGATTAACCACTTACCTGTACTTGTTTTTGTAGCCTCACTTGTAGCAGGAGACTCGGGTGCCAACGTGTGCTGATGATCACCTTCCAAATCGTTGCGGTTCTGTCGTGCAGAAAAAGCGGCTGCTGCTGAACTCTCGAATTGAGCCACCAATAAAAAATGCCACAAAAGCAAAGAAACACACAATAAGCGACACATTTTTCCAACTGATTAACAATTAAAAGTGCAATTAAAAATTAAAAATTAATTTCATTTCTGATCTCAATGAGCGCGAAGATTAAATGTAGAGCTGCATGTAAGAACAGTTACTATTCGAATGAGTGTGTGCGAGAATGTGTGTTGGTGTTATATTCCACGATTTGTATATTCGACTTGGAATTACTAGCTAGCTAGCACCCTCAACACTGATCCTATAATTTTTTCCGATAGGTTAATTATTTTTTTACAAGTTTGGCAAACTTTGAGGACTCTTTCTTATGTGATTTTTTATATGTCCACAAAAAAGGGTCACCATAAAATAGAATCATAAAACGTAAGTGGGAATAAAATGTAACGTAGGAAATGGAGTATTACGTCATTGACGGTATTTTTTTAACATAATAAGGTATATTTCTGAGGGTCAGACGGTATATTTGATCCGTAGTCCGCGGTCACATTGTCTGCAATTTTTCAGTCGTAATTCAAAAGCAGCATGACCGTTTATGGAATAAATAGAGGGGTGTTAAGTGGGTTAAGTCTCGTTTGATCGCCGGATTGCCCTGGTTTTTTATGGTATGGTATTTAAATGGTATTTCTCGAAACTTAAATGGTATTTAATGGTATTTATTTTTTTGCCGGATGGTATTTTTTATCGTTATCGTCACGGTCACGCTGTCTGCAATTTTTCTGTCGTTTTTTGTTGTAATTCGAAAGGAAAACCCATGGAAAACGCATAAAACACGCATGAAAAACGAATAAAAATTGTGAAAATTCAACAGTGACGTTGGCAGCCGTAACAATCAATAGATTGCAACGAGCAAACGTTTCTCGAAAGAACTCACTGTGCGTGTGAGTGCGTGCGTGCGCTCTTGTGTGTGTGTGTGTGCGTGTGTGTGTGTTTGTGTGTACCTCGGAGTGCGGTGTGTGCATAAAAAGGCATAGCAACCCACTGCCCCCGGGACGGACAAGCGGGGAGGCACACAGTCGTCGTCTTCGGTTCGATTCGCAGAAGCAACGAAAGTGAGCGAGAACCAGAAATTGTGAGTGCGCTTATAAGGATATATAGCGAAAACTGAACAGCAGATTGATAAAAACGCAGGCCAGTGACAGAGCCAGAGCCAGCGACATTGCTAGCCAATAGAGAAAAGAAAGAGAGAGGGCGTAAAAGCAGTAGCAGTGGCAGCAGCAACAACTGTAATTTTCCATTAATTTTTGGGGCGGATTGTGATTCCATTGCTGTTGAAATGTGGAGAGAAAAAATTGCATTTGAAAACTTCGTTTTTGATGAACATGTGTATGCATACACGAGTGCGTGTACGTATGAATCTGTGTGTGTGTGTGTGTATGTGCTAAACTTGAAATCCAACGCAATCGCAGCGTAAGAGAGAGGGAGAGAACAGAATAGAACTCGTCAAGGTAAAGCAGAAAAAAATGTGTGTGAAAAATTCCAACGGAATTACGCGAGAGGGAGCGTTGAGCAGAGGTGCTTTTAGCTTATTCTACGTTTGTTGCTTCTACTATTTGAGTGTCTTCCGTGTTTGGGTGTTTGAATGAAATTTAAAATATGTTTTAATTGATTTTTTACTTGATTTGTGCTAAAAATATAATTGCATAAATTAAATGTTTACATTGGGCCGCCTAGCTGTAGTTGGCAGTGCTGTATAACAAAATGTCTGATTTAGTTGCAGCGCCACCTACCGCCTACACATATCGATAAGAGCGCATGTGGCCATCCCATCACACAAGCATTTGGGTGCAATAAATTAAATGTTAAATAATTTGAACTACAATTCGGGGCAGGGAGAATGAGAATATGAGGCAATGCTGCTGCATACAATTTAGGCCCGCATTTCTGCCGGGGCACACAAGTATTAATTCATCTCGCTCTGCCGCTTCTGGTATGTGTTATCTCGCTTCAGCAACTTAGTCAACACTGGATTTGACCAGCAGCAAGAAAGTGTTAATTTGCCAAAATTGTGTGTGTATGTGTGTTGGCCTGAACTGGTCGTTTACGGTGCATCCACGGATTTAAAAATCAAAGTTTTCCCATAAATGAAAATTTGTTTCGCACATGGAGTGACAGTGAAAATTAGCGCAAGACAAGTTTTTAAAATGTGTGTGTTTCGATGGTGTGGCTTTTGTGTGCGTCGTTCATAGGCTTTAACATAATTAGCGGGGTTTTTTCCATTTGTATTTTTTTTTTTTTGCATAATCGAAGCCGCTTTTCTCTACATATGCATATGTGTGGTGGCATGCGCTGCCTCCCCCCCCACCCCCCTCTCTCGTTCGAGAACCACCTTTTGGCAGTCATACAACGGCCACCTGTACGCCCTTGCACGAGAAAACACCAATACACATATGCATAGAGTAGTTGTGCTTTTTGTGTGTGGGGTGTGGGTTGTGTGCGTATGTGAGTGTGTACATCCATCGATATAATATAGTTTTTTTTTTTTTTGTTTTTTGACGAGAGTCTCGTGAGCAATTGCTCTATGACTGGCTTTACCCAAATTGTTATCGCTCTAGCGAATTATTGTATTATTTGAGTGCTGCTGCTTGCTGTTGATGGCCCATTTTTTTTAGTAGTTTATTTTTTATTTTTTGGTCTGTTTTTCCCATGTGCATGTTCATGTGAGTAGTGTGTGTGTGTGTGTGTGTGTGTGTTCGTGTTGGACATTCGGAGAGTGAGAGAGAGAGAGAGAGAGAGTGGTGTGTATGTTTTTGCGCTCTGAAAAACAATTTTCGCCTGGCGCCTGGTGATGAACGCTTCAGCTGCATTTCGCTGCAGCAACCAGTGATGACGCCGAATAGATAGGACCGGGGTGGGTACCGCCGCGCCGTTTTCTATTTGTAGAAAAGAGCGCATCATTCGAAGAAATGCCTGGTGGCCATTAGGCGCTTTCCATTTGTCTGTCTGTCTGGCAGGCAGGCAGGCAGGCGCATGCAATCATTATGGTTTTGGAAGAGCAGTTGTCCATTTAGTGCACTGCACTCACAACAGATTTGCAATAGGCAAACAAATACAACCGTTTTTAGAACAGCCACTTTGGCGGTAGAACTATTCAGTAGTTGCTCATCTCTATCAGCTGTCGCGATAGCACACACACACACACACACACCCAACACACACATGGGCCCGAAGCACAGTTATGCGCATAACAGGTGGCAACGCTCCAGTGGCTGTCCTTTGGCCTTTTTGCAGCCCCCTGATTTTCTAGAAAGAAAACTAAGAGTCGGGCATACATTGCCGGATAAAACTCAAATAAATTGTGTCTGTTTTCATTGCAGTTCCTTGCCACGACGGGAGCAGTGATTTCCAGTTCTTTCCAAATGGAAATCTGATATTCTCCATCCTCCAGAAGAAGTAAAGGATTATCCGCAGAGTCCGGATACGAAGGAAGAGGGAGACAGCAAACGATTCTCATATTGCAGAAAATACACACACTATTTTTGTTCTGCATCCCAGATATCAGATCGGTAGGTCCTTCAATAGAGAAAGAGAGAGAGAGAGAGAGAGTGATAACGATCGCTCCCCTCGGCTTACACAAAACAAAAACAAAACAAAAAAAACAACATCCCAGCCAACAACAATCGTGTGCATCTGAATTTGAATGGATCCATTTGTTGGCTGGTTTCAGAAGGAACAGGAGGGTCCATCGCTGCGCACATGGTTAAAGATTTGGGAGACGAATGCCCAGGAAATGGGAGCATTGCTTGATCAGCAGCTACAGCTGGCGATCAACAACGGTGGGGGAGGAGGAGGAGGAGGCAGCACCAATCTAGGAGGCACCAAAATCAACAGCAGCAGCAGCAGCACTAACACCACCACAAACAGCACCAACACAACCACAGCCACAAGTAGCAGTAACACCAACGACACTAACAACTGCAACAGTAGCAGCAGCAGCAACGGCAAGGCATTTCTGTCGCGACCCGCCGCCGCCGCCACCACCACCACCACCGCCACCGCCACCGCCACCGCCAGCACCACCACCAGCAGTACGCTAAGTCGCGTGCTCAACTTTCGTGCGGATTCACTTGAAATCCTGCCTCAAATCAACGGCAACAACAGCAGCCCTGCTGCGCCTGAAGACAACAACTCCAATAGCAGCTCCAGCAGCAGCAGCAGCAGCTCCAGCAGTAGCTCAAGCAGCAGTAACTCAAGCAACAGTGGTGCCAGCCCCGAGGCAGTTGCAAACGCAACAAACAGCAGTATAGCCGCAACAACAGCGGCTGCAGGTGTAGCTGCAGGTGTAGCTGCAGGTGTAGGTGTAGGTGCAGCTGAAGCAACAGTTGCAACCACTAGCACCAGCAATAGCACAACGAGTACTACAGCTAGCAGTACTAGCAACACTCCTGCAACAACGACGACGACGACCACTACCACAGCAGCAGGAACAACTGTAGCAACATCAACTGTATCGACTGTAGCAACTGTAGCAGGCGGCATCATGAATGACACGACAAACCAAAGCAACCGCACAAACATCATTTATTACAATCCGTCACGTAAGAAACGTCCAGAGAACAACAAAGTTGGTGTCACACATTATTATATGAACAATCACATGGCAATGATAGCCAAATACAAGGGCGAACCCTGGCGCAAACCGGACTATCCCTATGGCGATGGTGTCGTTGGGCTGCACGAAGAAATTGAGCATTTCTATCAGTATGTGCTGCCCACGCCCTGTGAGCATGCCATACGCAATGAGGTTGTGAAGCGGATCGAGAATGTGGTGCATAGCATTTGGCCACAGGCGGTTGTCGAGATCTTTGGCTCATTTCGCACTGGACTCTTTCTGCCCACCTCTGATATTGATCTCGTTGTCTTGGGTGAGTGTCTGTCTGGCCCTGGGTCATTCCTTGGTGTCTGTCTGTCTGTCCTTTATCTGCTACTGATACTGATTGTTATTGTGGATTTCTGCTTGCAGGTCTGTGGGATAAATTGCCACTGAGAACACTGGAATATGAGCTGGTGAATCGGGGCATTGCAGAGGCATGCACGGTCCGTGTCTTGGACAAGGCATCGGTGCCGATCATCAAGCTGACGGATCGTGAGACTCAGGTGAAGGTCGACATATCGTTCAATATGCAATCGGGCGTCCAGTCCGCGGAGCTCATTAAAAAGTTCAAGCGCGACTATCCGGTGCTGGGGAAGCTGGTGCTGGTGCTCAAGCAGTTCCTACTGCTGCGTGATCTCAATGAGGTGTTCACCGGCGGCATCTCATCCTATTCGCTGATCCTCATGTGCATCAGCTTCCTGCAGCTGCATCCGCGAGGCATCTACCACGACACCACCAATTTGGGCGTACTGCTGCTCGAGTTCTTTGAGCTCTATGGCCGGCGTTTCAATTACATGCGCATTGGCATCTCGATCAAGAACGGTGGTCGCTACATGGCCAAGGATGAGCTGCAGCGGGACATGGTCGATGGCCATCGACCGTCGCTGCTGTGCATCGAGGATCCGCTGACGCCCGGCAATGATATTGGACGCAGCAGCTATGGCGTGTTCCATGTCCAGCAGGCGTTCAGGTGCGCCTACCGTGTCCTCGCACTCGCCGTCAGTCCACTCAATCTCTTGGGCATCGATCCGCGCACCGATTCAGTGCTGGGTAAGTCTCAGTCCTTCGATCCGTTTGCTGAGCGATGCCTCCCCCTAATCGCATTTTTCGTTTGCCTTCCTTTCCTTTCGTTCCATCCCGCAAAGGTCGCATTATCCACATAACCGACGATGTCATCGACTATCGCGAATGGATACGCGAGAATTTTGAACATCTGCTGCTAGTGGATCGCATTTCCCCAATGCCGCCCGGCGGCTATACCCCAAATGGAACCAAATATGTGATTATGCCCTCCGGCACAATGGTCCAACAGATCTATCATCCGGTGCAGGTGCAAGCCCACGGCCATGCGGGGCATGGGCATGCGCATGCCCATCTCGGCCAGCCATATACGACGACGACGACGACAGCGGTGGCTGTGGCGGTGGCTGCCACCCAGCAGCAACAGCAACAGCACCAGCAATCGCAGCCGCCGACGCAACAGCAGCTGCACCAGCAGCAGCAGCAACAACAACAGCAGCAGCAGCAGCAGCAGCATCAACACCAGCAGCAGCAGCAGCAGGTGCGGCATCGGCGGGGCAGCACCTCATCCGGTGACGATTCCGAGGATAGCAAAGACTGTGAAATTGTGGAAGTGGCGCCAGCAGCTGGAAAAGGAACAGGAACAGCAATAGCATCGAATCCGAATGCGACAGCAGCAGCAGCTGGTTCCACGGTTGTGCCCATGGAGATTATCGATATAAGCTCATCCCCCCCGCCCAATGGCCGGGGTGCCGCCACAGTGGTGCCTATTACGCTGGCCATGCCCATGCCGATGCCAGTGTCCGCCGTTGGCATGACGCTGCCAATTGTGGTGGCAACAGGAGCCAGCAGGAGTCACAGCAACACAAGCAGCAGTAGCAGCAGCAATATAAGCTGGAGCGGGAATGGCAATGGAAATGGAAGCCGGAGCCGAAGCAGCGGGAATGGAAATGGAAACGGAAACGGGAACAACAACAACAACAATAGCTCCTCAGCGGGCTCGTCGGTAATGCACACACCCACACGCCTAAATACATGATGAATGGTTGTCGCCGGCCTCCTCATGCAGCAGCCGCCGCAGCAGCAGCCGCAGCCGCAGCAGTTCACTGTCCAATTCAAACAGCAACAGCAGCCGCCGCAGCAGCAGCAGCCGCAGCATCAGGTTGCCGGCTATGCGAACATGCTGGCCGCAATTGCCGCCGCCGCTGCCGCCGGCGCCGCCCATCCAATCCAACATCAGAATCATTGTTTAATTCAGAATCCGAATCCAAATCAAAATCAAAATCAAAATCACCTGCGCCAATTGCGTGGTGGTGGAGTGGGGATTGGTATTGGTGGTACAGCAGCAGCAGCAGCAGCAGCAACTGCGGCCAGCATGATCAGCAGCCACCAGCATACATGTATAACCTCTTCATCACAACTACAACAGCCATCAGACATCAATGTGTCGTCCAACCACCAGCAGCAGCAGCAGCAGCAACACCAACACCAGCACCATCAACAGGAGGAGGAGGACGATCGCCATTCAACGGGAAGCAATGATGCCATAGCAGTAGTATCTATGTCGACCACACCGCCAAATGGAGGAGGTGGGCGGCACTACAACAATCAGCGCAACAACAACAACAACGGCAATAACAACAACAACAGCAACAACAGCTATTATCGCCAGCAGTTTTATGTACCGCCACCGATGCAGCAGCAGCAACAGCAGACGACGACGTTGAACAAAACCACCTATCAACATCACGGCAATAACAATAGCCATCATCAGCAACAACAGCAACAGCAGCAGCAGCATCGGCATCATCATCATCAGAGCCAGCAACAGCAGCACCAGAATCAGCATCAGAACCAACAACAGCAGCAGCAGCAGCGTACGCAGCATATGCGACAATCTGTGAATCGCTATCAAAAGCCAACGGCTGTTGCGGCTGTAGCAAGCAATAATAATAATAGCAACAGATTGCCGCCGCTGCGTGGCACTTTAGTGAACTCGTCGTCTGCTATATCAATCATTTCCATATCCTCCGAATCATCGGTGGCCAGCAGCAGTTCGTCCTCGTCTAATCGATCCGGAAAGAATCGTAATCAAAAGTCACGATAGGCCGAAATTTAGGGAGAAACCCATACACATACCACACACATACACACACCACACACACACACACATAGAACACCCATACAACAGAGACAGAGACGGACAGCAGTAGCAGACAAACCGCAAAGCAAAGCAAAAGCACAGCACAGCACAGCAGAGAGAGAGACAGAGATAGAATAGTAAGCGTAATGAGAGAACGATAGATAGTGTTAGAGAAGGATAGAGAAGAGAGTTAGCGTAAATATATATTTATTGAGTGTATTCAATATTCGTCGTATATTCCTCCTTTCTCACGCGTACCCGTACTTCAAATGTTCTGCATTTTTCGAATTAAAAACAAATACTATATATATAAATATATATATATATATATTCTCAACGTAAGGTAAAAACGAAAGTCTGTAAACCCCCCCGCCCATAGAACCGATGTGTCCCTCTCCTCCGCCTTCTGCACTCTCCTAGGAGTGTATATCCTTACTGCTGTCTCGCTTGGGGTTGCGAGCACGCGCCTGCTCACTCCTAAAAACTAGACTTAGGAAAACAGAACAAAAACAAAACAAAAAACACAACAACTTTTGCCTACTCATTGCGCTAAATGTATTTCATTTTGTTTCTAAAATAATATGAAAGCTGAAAGGCAAACAAAAAAAAAAAACAACAAAACAAAACAAAACCAATTTATATATAGACGGAGATATATGTGTTAAGAGTGCTTGAGGAGGATTCAAACCGTAGATGTAGGATGATCCTAAGATGAAGAAGCGAAAATGAATTATGAAATTAGCCCGTATATCCATCAATGTGAATATATATATACATCTTGTATCTATATATAGTAATATATCTTATATATAAAGCAAACTTAGGCCGTTTTCATTAAATAATATTTTTTTTTTACATATATAATATAAATATAGTATATATATATATATTATACACACATATTAATAATATAGATTATAAATGTTTAGAATCCCCTTCTTTTTCCCCCCTCCGCCCCCCACCACACTCCCAAAAACACTCACATGTGCGCGCATACGATCTTTGTAAATGATATATGTACTATATCTTTTGTAAACCTGAGAATGCTCTGCAGCAAAAATAACCCCCATTCTCCAGCAACCCTCCCCCCGGATATCATGCGCTCATGCTATTTATTATTAAGTGCGCAAAACTGTACAAACAAAACAAAACAAAACAAAACAAAAAAAGCCGTCTTAAAACTAAACCCTAAATCTAAGATCTAAATCCATGCTAAAATCAACAAAATCTAATTCGTAAATCTAAATTCTGTACACTCCCCCCCGCCCTACACACACACTTCTTAGCTTGTATCGTATTACTTCAAAATGTGTTTTTTGATGATTTTGATGGAAGTCTTGCTTACCTATTACCTATTACTTACACAAAACACACATACTGTAAATGTTTTTATGATTATTATTACTATGATGCTGATTGCTAGTTTTTATAATTATTATGCTATGTTCTAAGGATAGTAAACAATATTGTAGCCTGTATGAACACACAATGCCCCGCCCCCCGCCCTCGCCCTAAACCCTAGAAAAAACAAATGCAAGTGTGTTTTAAAACAAAACTAACAACAACAAAAAAAAAAAACTTAAACACACAAAAAGAAAAAAAAACCCAAAAAACGACACAAAAAAAAGAAACAAACAAAACCCACAAAAGAAACGAAAAAATTTGTGTACAATTATTTATTATATTTATTATTGCAAAAGTGCATTACGCATAGAGATTCCTGCCATTTGTTACATTGTAAATTCTATGTTTTTTTTTTTCTTTCTAATTATATATTTAGTTCTTGCTCTCCCGCTACCTCCGCCACTGGCTTGGCTTTACCCATACCCGATCATCCCCTCTCTATACGCACTGCCATTTTGAGAAAGGTTTTTAAAACTAAAGCGAAGAGACATGAGTGAAGAGATGAACATTTAGAGACTTTGTACATGTATAACATTTTAGGCTGTTCTTCTTTCCATCTGTAAGGGAAAACAAACTACCAAAACAAAAACAAAACAAAAAAACTCTAAAACTGTACCCGATATGTAAAAAGAAAATCTACGAGAAAAGCGCAGAATATCTACGAGATTATGTAACGCGAATGAGAATTTAAATGTTTCCTTTCGCGCGCGTCAATCGTTCGATTCGATTGTGATAGCTAATCGGTCGGTGTCTGGTAATCGATGTTGTGTTGACTGTTGTCCAGTGTTGGCTAATGTCGCAAATAACCGTCGTCGCCTCTCCTCTCCATTCACAGAATGCTGCTGACGATCATTACAACAAAACCAATAAGCTTGCGCAGCTGACAGACAGACAGAAAGAGAGAGAGATTGAGCTTTGAAGCCCACCTACACATAGACACACGCATACTGCTGCACCCACACACACAAACACACACACATAGACAGACAGACAGACAGGACAGGCAGACTTAATACGAAAATGTAACGGTAAAAGCAAAGGCCGGAGAGCAAGAAAGATAGAGAACGAGTGAGTGAGTGAGTGAGAGAGTGAGAGAGAGGAAGGAAGAGCTAAGTAAATGTTTAAGAATTATTAAATTTATGCACTCGTCTGTTGAATATTTATATGTATGTATGTAGTTACCTACTATTAACTAAATATAAAGATATACAATATTTATATTCATGACTTGTGAATTAATATATATATATATATATATGTATATGTATGTGTGTGTGTAAAGCAAGTTGGACAAAATGTCTAGAATATATGTAGGCTAATTCTAAGGATTCTTAAACGGATAGCTACTTAGAATACACACGACATACACACAGAGAGACCCTACACACACAAAGACACATAACATTGCCTAATTGCGCATCAATATTAATGTTGAGGTTATGTCGTAGATTTTCCAATATCCAAATCGCTGTTTCAACTCCCCCCTCCCCCCTAGCCACGTAAGCACTGTAACTAACCAAAAACACACACACACACACACACACGCAACTCATTTCTTTTATCTCTGAATTGAATTCCATTCTACGTACATAGACCCTGGGTTTAACGCTTTATTCCCCACACTCTCTTTTATTCTGTATGCTCCTTTCCATATATGCATACACACACACACACACACACACACACACGCATATGCATCCTCAGTAAGAGTATTTGTGTGCCGTTGTTGTTACAAAACAAACGAAAAAAAAAAGAAAGAAAAAGAAAAAAAGGTAAAAATTGTGAACTCTTGAACATTTTTTTTCGTTTTGGGCGATATTAGGAGAGATACATAATGTACGTACGATTAACTAAAATACAGTGTTAAGATTGAAATGATTGAAACAAACTACATGCATATATGTATAGTATGTATGTATGTATGTATGTCTATGTATACAACATATTCAGTAGAAAATTCAAATAGATCTTAAGTCGAAAAAATCGTAAAGTTTAGCATAAAAGCATACAAATTAACTGATTGTATAATTAGCGGAACAGACAAAAAACAACAAATGAAGAAACAAAGTGAAACAGAAAAAGAAATGGAATGGAATCAGAAAACAATGAGAAAAATGATAATGAGAGCGATAGTCGATACGATTACGATTACGATTAAAAATGATACAAAAACAAAAACAGCGGATAATAAAAAGCCGGCTAAAACTATGCGATGCGTGCGCCTCGTCTCGAGTCCTTTCATGAATATTTTCTACCATTTGATGTAGGTAAATTTGAAGGTTTTCGGCTCGCTGGATTCGCAGACATAGAGCATCTGGATCTTGCAGTTGGCATCGTTGATCAATTCGCGAGTGGCGAACATATGGACACAGTTCTCGTTGCCCCCATAATTGTCCGGCATTTGCTTGGGCCCGTTCCAGGGTGCATAGGTCATCGGCCGGCCATTGGACAGCCAGTAGAAGGCACCCTCAGTGCCGAGATCATTGCCCGATACCCAAAAGTAATCGTTGTTCTGGAATCCTTTCGCCTTCATATACTTGATCAGCGCCTCCATCTCCGGCTTATCCTCGATGGCCGCCAAATGGGCGTTCATCATGCGACAGGCCCCGGCCGCCTGAAACCAATTCACCTTGTTCATCGGCTCGATATAGTAGTAGTTGTCCGCGATCCTCACAAACGGCGTAGTGTCAATCTCCGATGGAATGCCTGCAAGTAAATAATTGGGCGGATACGTTGGTAGATGCCATCTCTTCTTTAGATGCCATAGCCCCCCGCCGCTTACCATTGTACACCTCGGTGCGGTAGTTGGTGAAGATATTCACATCGGGCAGGTAGGCCCAGGCCAGGCTGCAGCCGCCCGCCAGGAGCAGCAAAAGCACCGCACCACCACACGAATTCCATTGAGAGCGACGCATCTTTAACCTTCTGAGTACGGAGCACGAATACTATCCTGACCAGCGCTCCAGTAGCTTTATAGGGGCGCAGCCCAGCTGGCTTGGCCAAAAACTACTGCACGGAAAACAGCTGAAAATACTTGAGGGAAAACAGTTCGAACAGAACAGAAACGTTTGGCCCTTATCACCAGCCGGCACGGCACTGCGCGGCACGGCACCCAGTCGTGGGCATTAGACGGCGTACCTTCCACAGAATACTTCCCACAAAAACGTTAAACGATCAATGGAGGGAGGAAGGAGTTCATCATCTGGTGCGAAATATTCTGTTTATTTTCTTAATGAATTAATAGATAAATAATTATAATTGATTGTGCAAGCTGCGCGGATTCAGATACAGATACTGATTCAGAGCGTTCCTCTCAGATCGAATTCGGGCGCAGGTCCTTGTGGCATTCGCTCGGGCCACACAATGCCCTCGATCCAGGACACAAAGCTGGATACGCGGGTGTACACAGAGGGCGGCCCGCTGGCACAGCCCTGGCCGAGCGATGTGATACCCACCACGTAGCCGATGGGTCCGTTCTGCATGATCAGCGGGCCCCCGGAGTCGCCCTGGCACGTGTCCCGCTGCCGTGTGACATCGCCAGCACACAGCTGCGTGGCCACCACGCCCAGCGAGAGAGTCTCGGCGGGATAGTGGATCTGGCACTGCTCGTTGTCCACATGCTGCAGGGGCACCTTCAGCAGCTGGGACGAGGAGAGGCCCGCAAAGCGCGTCTGGCCGTAGCCAATGGCGATCAGCTCCGGATCGGCCAGCTCATGCTCGCTCCACAAGCAGGTGGGACGCAGCGAAGGCGCCTGCAACTGGTCGTTCAGCTGCAGCTCCAGCAGGGCAATGTCATTGTACGCCGCAGTGGCATTGTACTCCGGATGGATGACAACGCGCTTGATGTTGAAATCCTCACCATCGGCCAGGGTTAGATTGTCGCCACCCAAGCGCACCTGGCTGGGCAGCGCGCTGCAAAGGAAACGGAAAGGTTTATTTGTATACATATTTCGGCGATCTTTGCCCTTATGTCTTGCATGATCTGATGATGGTCTTCTTACCCGCCAAAGTCGATGCAGTGGGCCGCCGTGAGTACGTATGTGGGTGAGATCAGGGCACCGCCGCAGCGATAGTAGATCCGCTCATCGAAATTGGAACGCCAGCCGAGGGCGGCCATGTAGGGGAACTCCCGGTAGGCTGTCGGCTTCCCCCCCACCACAGACACCACAAAGGTAATGTCGCGCTCGTTCAGCTGTATCACATTGTTGTAGTCATAGCACGCTGCCAAAGAGAGAGACAGACAGAGAGAGAGAGTGAGAGAGAGAGAGGAGTGTGTGGAGGGGGGATACACGAAAATCCAAGGTTTAGTCATGGTTAAGTGCTCGGCCTTAGAATGGCGAGTGGTACGGGGAATTTCTCACTCACCCAGCACGCTGGGGCGCTTCTTGGGAGACGTCAGCGGGGGCAGTGTGGGTCTCTCTGTTGTTGTTGTTGTTGTGTCGATCAGCGGCTGTTTATCCGGCTCACAGCAAATGTAGTGATCGAATTTAACAAAATAGCAGGTCTTGGGCGATTCCCGCTTGTCCAGCCAACGCTTCAGTGCCGGCGGGCAGTCCTGCATTAGCTTACAGCTGCCAGCCAGCTGCCTGGCATCGTCCAGGAAGCAGTCGTCAAAGGACTCCTTGGGAAAGATGATGCCGCGCTGCGACAGCGGACTGATGGCAGGCTTGGCCCCTACAAACAAAAGTACATGGAAAATTTCGATCTTCTGCAACAATATATGTACATATTTTCTCTATTCTGCATTACCTGCGGCGAATGGGAGCGGGAGCGGGAGCGGGAGCGGGAGCAGCAGCAACAGTACAGACAGGTTCATGTTCCTCCTTTCGTGCTCGCCAGCCAGACGCGTACTGCTTTTTGGGGGAACGGAACGATTCGGTCTGTGGCTGGATTGGATTTCTAATCGAGTGGAGCTGTCGGGCAGCAGCAGCAGCAGCAGCAGCAGCGGAAACCTGCCGGGCAACTTCCTCCACTTACTCTCCAGGTGCGGCACGAGCGCACGAGCGCTGAATTGCCTCCACCAGAAATAATTGCGCGTATTTAATAATTCCTGTATCTGTAGCATAAGTTTAATCGTCCAATGAGCTTGACTCTGTGACACACCATCCCATCTGGGGGTTTCGGATTCAATTTTGGGTGATAATGAACGGCGGCAGCGCGCTGCGACCGGTTCTCATTGATAGCGCATTGAACCTCCTGTCCTGGGTCAGATTTATTACGAATTGCTTTGGTTTTAGTTCGTATTTTGATCCAAACCGGCTGCGCTAGTTACTCAATGGAAGACCAGACCTTATCTATAGGTATCTTTACTCCAAAGTTATCCGTTGTGAAGTAACCTTTTCTGAGCCTTCTTCTTTTGTATCCAAATAAACCAATAAAAATCATGGAATTAGCATCTGTATATCCCGCGTATTGACTCCACAAATAAGTCGTTGATATGTAGCAAATGTGTAGTTACCGTGTAGTTACCATGTAAAATAAGAACATTTTTGTTCAGCTTCTTTGTTTAAAGATTATTTTTTAGACAATCACATAACAAGGAGTCGTTATAAAAAGCCAGATTGTGGAAAATTTATTTATCTATCGGATAATATGATATATACAGTGGTTAGAGTCCTAACTAGCTAATAATAGTAGATTGAATATCAAAATTGAGGAATATTATTTTCCTGGTATATTTACGGTATATTATGAAAATAAAGTTTCTGAGGTTCCAGTCACACTCGACAAAACAAACAAGTGAACTATTTATTTTTCCATATATTAATATACTTTTGATATGACCGCCAAACTCATTTAGCGCACCAAAAATACTGACATTTTTCGCTTCAATTCGTGGGAGTTGCAAACTCGCTTCATCGTGGAGGTTTGAAACTCGCTTTCAATTCGTGGAGAGTTTGCAAACTCGCTTCATTGTGAGAGTGCTCTCTATTCAGTGGAGAATAGAGTGTTTTTGTGGAGACTTTCCCCTCATTTTCGTGGTGTGGCAGCATGTTGCTGAAATTTTTCCCATACAAACTCAAATGTATCTTACGGTATCTTATTTCAGCAGCATGGGAAAATGAAGTAGCAGCAATGTTGTGCAACCTTAGCACGGAATGAGCAACAAGTCTGAATACCTTGGGAAAATGGATATTATGGATTTGAGATACTGTTTGAATTTTCAGGCTCCAATTAATGCAAAAACTATTCCGTCTCTGTTCTAAAGATATTAAAAAAGTTTTGCAGCTCGCGGGTTCCAATAATAGGTATCAGAACTGGGATAAATGTATATATAAAACACAAATATATTCATTAAGAGGTTAAAAACATGTCAATCTAGGATAAAATCATAAATAATGTTCAAATGGAGCTTGGAACAATAAATTTAACATCAATTAAAGAAAATATGGTATACAAAAGTCTATACGCATAGAAGAAACTTGGTTGACCAGCAACACTGACGTCACATTTAGTCCACATTTACGTTTTATGCTTTGGCCGTTTTTGTTTGAACCTTTTTATGTAAGCAATGCAATAAAAAGGACTCCTGAAAACTTGCCAATCTTGTAGAAAATGTATGTATCTATCGGATAATATGATATCTTCAGTGGTTAGAGTCCTAACTAGCTAAAAATAGTAGATTGAATATCAAAATTAAGGAATATGATTTTCCTCGGTATATTTACGGTATATTATGAAAATGAAAAGGTATATTTGAGTATATTTCTGAGGGTCAGACGGCATATTTAGTCGATAAGGTCACACTGTACGAACCATCTATGGAGGGGTCACACTAACCTATTTTGGCGGCCTTGCCAAGTTTCAATCGCAACTTTTTCTACGAATCGCACGCACTGAGCAGGGCGCTAGCTACGGGTACCAATTTTTGTTTCCCTCCCCAACCAATTTGTTTTGCCGGCATTTTGGCGTAAGTGTACTGAGTAGAACTCGAATGTTTATTTTTTTTTTTGTGTGCTGTGCTGTTTAGTGTAAAAGTGTAAGTGACGCGCGCGCATTTTCGGAAACTGTAATTTATTAATATAACGCGTGTGCACACCACACAGATATTATACCTGCCTGCATGTATCTAGAATCTAGATAATGTTATCTTTTAGTTCAGTTCAGTTCTGTCGGTATTTGTTGTTGTTTTGCAAGTGAACGGCGCGCAGCAGCAATTGTTTTGGCGAGGAGATGAAGTAAAGAGAGTCGAGTCGGTGCTGGAGCGTGATGGCGCAGGATGGCGGGGGGGTGGGTCTGATCTGATCTGATCAGCTGAAGGTGAACCGGTTCGGTCGGGTCGCTTGGAGGCTACCGTTTCAAGTGCAACCCTATTGTCTTTTCTGCCGTTCTCTTTGTTGTCCTATCCGCTAAGCTTATGACGTCAGTGGAAGAGCGCTTGGCTCGTTAGATCGGTAGAGCGCGAGAAAGGGAGAGGGAGATTGAGAGGTGGTGACTCATCCCTCCCTACCGTTTTGTGGAGCGGAACCCCTGACGTCAGCGGGCATTTTTGGAACACAATCAGTGACTGGGAGGGGGCGACTATTTATTGTAGTTACAACCCCATCACAAGTCCCATTCCGAAATCACCAAACAACAAACAGAACACAACGAAACGAAACGCAACGACTAAATACATATATCGGCGGTGGCGGTGTGCCCTTATCATTTGATGATAATGAGAAATACTTCCACATGCTCCATGCCCCGCGCACCGCACACCCCGCTCTTCGTGCTGGCCGATAAGATAAGATATAACATTTTTCGCATTTCTTTTCGTATTTTTTTTCTCTCTGTGTAATGATACATATTGTGTTTTTAGAAGAACAAAACCAACCCACAACGAAATAAACAAATTAAATAAACAATAAAAATAGCCAAAAAACGTTTAAACCGGTTGCACATACATACATACAAAACAAAAAACAAAAATCAAAAAAAAAACACGTCATTTGCTGCCGCTCAACGTTCAACAGGTGAGTGTCCCCCATACGGGTGGATTATACTACACACTCGTACAAGTGGTAGGGGGGGCCTCTGGGGGTATACGTGGTGTACGGTAGGGGTGGTGGGGGGTGTAGGGGCTTGTAATGTCTTTGTTGTACTTTCACCAAAAGTATTTATCTATTTATAACCAGGCAGCGTACCCTACCCCACAGCTGCTCTGATGACTACAGCCAATAGTCAATAGTACCCTTTATGGGCATTTAGTTTAACAAGTTCTTGGAAGTGTACAAAATAGTTTTTGCCTTGTGTGAATCATTTGCATAAGTGTTTGAAATGGGAATAACTAGGATACAAATGTATAAGAATGCCACAGACTAGAGCACTGGCTGATTGGCTGATTGGCTGATTGGCTGATTGCCTGTGACAAATGTGCCATAAGCGAACGGCTGCATTTGTTTTTGGAATTTGATTTTGAATAGATGGCAAGAGATGCATTGCATCCAGCATGGGATTCCCATACGTGTATGTTGTGTCTTTTTTTTAATAGTGTTCCAGGTTTATTCCCGCTGTAAAACTGATTAGATATTTAAGATTTATGGTGTCTATTCTATATATAAAGTGACTCTATACCATGTTTTCTGTGGCTCACTTTTGGCTGCTCCATCAGTCGGCCAATAGATCTTTTCTCTTCCCCAAAATGTATACAGTGCTGCGGCAAGAAGGGTGCCCTGGCCTGCCACTCTGCATTATTCAATCGTGAATGCAAATTTGTTTGCCGCCTCTCCCTCCAACTCGTCTGATAGATCGGATTACTCGAGCAACGTGGGGATCGGTCTGTGGTGTGTTTGCTGCTGCATTTGAATTTAAATTTCGAGACACTGAGACTGAGACAAGGCTGTGTGAGTATTGTATACTGTGTAGCGATATTGACCTCCATTAAGCTGAGCCAAAAACGATTACCCTTTATGACTGTCTCGCTCGCTGCCTCTGCCTCTGCGTCAGCCTCTCTCCCCTGAGGCATTTGTTGTCCCCCCCATTTGCAGTTTTATTATTTTAATTCTGTTGATAACTATTCTGTTTTGGGTTCTTTATTCTTTATGTGCGCTCTCAAATTATCCAAGTCCATTTCCGTTTACCCTTCGCCCGACTACCGACAACCCGAGTATTGTGGTTGCTGGTGGCCGCCAATTCGTGCGATTGTATTCCCAGACGATACCCTGGAAGTGCAGAGGTGTATTGGCTTCGTTGTGGAAAGCTTCCGTAAGCGAAAGGCTGCGAGAATGGGAAATGGACGAATCATTCGACGCTGCCATTTGCTAATCCCGAGAGCCCTAAATCCCCCAAACTGATAGCTCATATTTCGATTAAATCGAATGACCAAAGCAGCCCTTGATTTCCTTATGCCCTCTTGGAGCAGTTGAACGAGCATTCCCGAACAAATCGATTGGCCAAAGCTGGATTTTGATCTCTCCGTCAATAGCTCAGTGTTCCCCGTGTGATATTCACGGTCTGCTTTCAAAGCGTAAAATAGAATCTAAAACCTGCAACAAGATGCTACGCTACAACAAGAACCTGACTGGGTCTGCATTCTCGCAATACTCTGTGCCCATTGTTCAAGTGGTGTCGCATATCAAGCCTCCAGCCTCCATCGAAGAAATCTTTGTTGTGATTAACTTGAAGTACAAGGTGAGTAATTCCCCGAGCGAATAGGCATCCCTGACTATATATGTACGCATCCCGCATCCGCAGCCCATGACTAACGATTTTCACTTTTGGGAAAAGTTGGAGACTAAGCTCCAACTCGCCTTGGAGCTTGGCTACATTCGGGAGTGTGATGGGCTCCTCACGAAACAATGTAAGGGGTAGGCGGCTGTTCGAACCCTTGCAGTCCATCCATCCATCCGTTCGGGTTTTATTTCTGGGTGACCTGCATTTTGGTCAACGTTTTGTTGTTGCTCTTTTCCATTGTTTTTTGTTTTGTTTAATGCGCTTTGCGTCGGCTGCTTGTTCCAGAGCCAGGAGAAATTTCAACAAATTTTTTGACGATGCCAAAAACATTTGGCCAACAAAAATGTATACAAAGAAAAAAAAGAAAAAAAATAGAACGCCGCAACACGAAGAAACATCAAGAGAGGCCAATAGCAAAAAGCACACAGATACAGCAATACAGAGGCAAGGCAGAGGCAAGGCAGAGGCAATACAGAGGCAAGGCAGAGGCAATACAGAGGCAATACAGAGGCAGAGGCAGATGCAGAGAGTGAGAAAGAGCTCTGAAAATGATCTCATTCTCAGGGTCTACGAGTAAACAGAAAATTTGTTGCTCTCCACACATTTTCGATTTCAGTTTTCGGTTTCCAGATCCGTCTTTGGGGCATCCAAATTTTGAGCTGCTTAACTGCTGAACTTTTGGAAGCAACAAAATTGTAACATTGAAATTAATTTTATATATTGGCAATGATTGAAATTTATTGTGTGCAAAATTATCTTAAATGTATAGCAAAATTTCTATTGAAAATATAAGCCATCAGATTCATTTGTCCGGCTATCCGTGGGGGGATAGCATTAAATAGAATATTTAATTCCTACTGGAGCGGTGGAATATCCATTAAAAATAGGATCCGGATGCGTTCAATGGCTAATTGAAAATATCATAAAGGAAGCTTTCAGCTTGCCTCCATTTCGAATGCATCCAGATGCACTCAGGACAAAATCAATATTTAATCTGAATATAAAACACTTAAAAGGTAATTAAATATATCCTTCATAAATGGGAAAGGTGCAAAATATTTCATCTAAATATGAAATTTTAAACACAGCCTAAAGTAACTGAATGACAATAAAAGACAAGAAATATGTTTATTTAAATATGTATGAAATTATTCTTATTACAATTTTCACTTTTCCACTGGCTTAAATTTTTAAATTAAAGTTTCGCGGAAATTCCAGGCATTCCAGGCATCTCTGGGTATAATTTAGACAAACAGTTATTATGATCCCCTTCTAGAACGAAGATTTATTTACAAATAAATTAATTGTTGGCCACAAATTTGCCATTATTTTGTGGCTGCTCGACACCTTTGCCTAGAAGACCGAAGACGAGGGAGCTCCGCTGCGCTCCACTAAACTAATCGAAGCCATTCGAATGGGATGGGGTGGGATGGGATCGTAGCATAGCGTAACGGTTCATTCAACTTTTGAAGCAGATGCTCCGGCACTCGGCACTCGGTACTCGGTACTCGGTATCCGTAGTGCCCCGTTGCTGCTGTGGCTCTGTGGCTCTGTTGGCTCTCTGCATTTAAAAATACTCGTAATTTCCATTTGTTTTTTTTTTTTTGTCTTGATTTGATTTGATTTGTTTTTTCGCACTTTGCCTCTGTGGGGCATTGGAGCGACTCCCTAGATTGAAGCGGGGCAATTGGGGCGTAGCTGTAAATTGATATGTTGTCTGGGAGGAGGCGGAGGAGGAGGAGGAGGATGTCGGGCAGACTCTGGCATCCAGAGTTAACCCCATCTACGAGCGACACTCAATGCGATAATCAAATTTGATATTTGAGATGCATTTACCCCAGGCCCAGCAGCATTTCTGTGTGCGTGTGTGTGCGTGTGGCATGCGGCATATTTGAAAGTTTTATTTGTAATACGAGTGCCAGAGAGCAGAGCACTGAAACGGAACTGCCAAGAGCTGCTCCTGCTGCTCCTGCTGCTCCTGCACGAATTCCGTCCATGAAATTTCCTTCTCGTACGGGTTAGCCACGTGCCCCTTCACCATAAGCTAAGGGTTGTCCGTTGCACTATAAGTATTATGCTGCCCCTTCATCCCCCAAAGGCAACCCACCACCCCCCTTGCAAGGCATAATGTAGGTCACCCCACTCTTAATCAGCCTCTAATCGCCATCAGACACACACACACACACACACAAGCGAACGAGGGGAACCAGTCGAGGAAAACCACCCACTGACACAGTGAAAGAAAAACAATAAGAG